CTGTGCGTTCTGGTACTGGTAGCTAGCAAGCGGAAATTTTTTATGTATTTGTATATATTTGTATGTATGTATGTATATGCATATATATATATATACATATATATATTTCTATATATCTATATATATATATATATATAAGTATGTATGTATTTATATATATGTGTGTGTGTGTATGTATGTATGTATATGTATATATATATATATAAATATATATATATATATATATTTGTGTGTGTGTGTGTGTGTGTATGTAGATACATATATATATATATATATGTGTGTGTGTGTGTGTGTGTCTGTGTGTGTAAATGAGCATATGGGTATGAAACACATATTTTACACGCCCCAAGTTCAATTTCGCGTGCAAAGAGGCGCCACTATGTATCTTGTTTAGTACTGCCTGTAGTGGTTTCCTCTCGTGATTTACATAGTCTAGTGTAGCGGGCCTGTTTGGCCAGTGCCCGATATATGTCGCACAGATAGTCATTGCGCGTATTCCTCTGTGCGGGATGTGATATGTCAAGGGTTTGTTTGGATTTGGTACAGATAGGCTTTCCTCAGTTGTTTCTAACACGTACTTGATAACTGGTGCAGTGTATTGTATCCTGCCCAATTTCGCTATCAGCCTACACTAGTATTGACAATACCGTTTTTTTTTGTACACGTGTGGTTAGGTGCGCGTATTGCAGAGGAATAGAATATAGATACTTTCTCGGTTCAAAACAATCTATCGGCGCACATTAATTAACTCGGCTTGATACTGTATACAGAGTGTTCGTTTAACGCCCAGCGTACGCACACATGAGCACACCCCATACACGCACTCGCAGCATTATACAAGATTTTGGGGTACTGCACGCATATACATGCACACGTTGATTATTCCAGGCCTTTGATACACCCCAATGCACACGTGCACATATACACGAACATGATCTCTTTCACTGACAAACATCCCCCACCGCCTCACAGATGCTGCAAAAACGACGCAACGTTCTGAGTGTGGTCGAAGATGAAACCAGTATCGAGAACGGACCGGCCCTGCCCTTAGACAACCTGGTGCAAAGTCTCATGTCTGAAGACCTCGAGTCGCAGTACGCAGGCGCCCACGGCATCCGAAAGATCCTCTCCCGGGCCGAAAACCCTCCCATCAAGGATGTGTTACAGTACGCCGCAGTGGTACCACGCATGATCAGCTTTCTTTCCGAGTTGTACGACGGACACACAACCATACAGTTGGAGGCGGCCTGGGCCCTGACCAACATCGCGTCTGGTGACAAGAACCAGACACTCGCCGTGGTCAAGGCGGGGGCCGTGCCGAGTTTCGTTCGACTGCTCAACTCGCCGGCCGAGGATGTGGCTGAGCAGGCTGTGTGGGGTATGTGGGTGAGGGTTTGTGTATGAATGAGACATGTATTGTGTATGTTATGTGATCTGCGTGTTGAGAAGATTGGTCACTATATCGTCTGCTGGTTTGTTGGTGCGGGTTTGTCGAGTTTTGTTCGACTGCTCAACTCGCCGGCCGAGGATGTGGCTGAGCAGGCTGTGTAGGGTATGTGTGCGTGTAAGTTGTTGTGTTTTTTTGTCGGGTGATTATGTATGTATTTTTTCCTTTTGGGTTTATTTGTCTCCGTGGTTGTGGTGGGTGTGCACTGGGCAGTAAGAGGTATAAGTCGAATTGAAAGACATGCATGATTCCGTGGGGTGGGGTGTATGGGTAGCTCTGAGTGTCTTTGTCTGCATATATGCACACAGTTGTGGGAGCGTATCCATCTGTGCATGTACACACAGCTGTATATATCTATTAGTCTGCGTGGTCGTGTGTGTTCTTCTGGGTTGCGTATATTTTTTAAATTGGGATTTATTGGAATGGTTGTATGACACCGTGTGGTAGGTGTATGAGTTACGTTGGCTCGGAATATAAACACATTTGTATCTCACACTCCATTGCCCACTGACAATTTCACAGCACCGCATGCAATCCACCTGTACTAATATGCATTCATGTGTATATACATATATCAATAGCCTTGGGAAATATCGCTGGTGACTGCTCGCAGTACCGTGACTATGTGCTGGAGTGTGGTGTGCTACGTCCATTGCTGGCTCTGATTGCCAATACGCACAAGGTGGGCGTAACTCGCAACGCTACGTGGGCGCTGTCTAACCTGTGCCGCGGAAAGGACCCTCGCCCTAACTTTGTTGTAAGTAGCAAGTGACCACGTGTGTGTTGGTGTGTGCATGCCTAAATTGTGCATTCTCCAGCAGCATAACATATAGCACGGATGCTTTTTGGCCTTTGCACTGCATGATGAAGCTGTTAGGCAAATCGTCGCAGCAACTTGGACCTCTGCTATCTTGGCTGTTTATTGTCTGATCTGTGAGTGGGTTATATGTGACCCACGTGTCGTACTGACCGTGTGGTGCATGTTTGTGTGTGTGTGTGTGTGCTTCGTCCATTGAATAGAGGAGACTTTTATTCTCTTGATGGAATGTTTGTGTTTGTTTCCTAGGAGGAAGCGCACACCCCATCCACTGATTATAAGTATACGTTCTAGATCCTCGCTCTCGCTGGCGTTTGTTTTGAGTGATGTCTGATGGTCGCATGCACTACTTCACATGTGTGTAGGAGGCTGTTTTATCGTGTTTTGTGCTGTGGGCCTTACCTTCAGAGCTTTGTTAGACCATCGGTTTGTGGTGGCATTCTAATATATGCATTGCAGCATATGAAATGACTGCAGTGTGTGTTTCTGTGTGAGTTGTGTCATGTGCACCTGGTTTACTCGCCACACACCCTGCATCCCAATTGGGGCTAAATACCGTGCCCACACTCGCAAGCCTTCTATGTAGCAACCTGTGGGGTTTCCTCTCGAAACTTAATTGTATACCAAATACAACCCGCGCTTTTAACAATTAGAATGTGCTTTTAAAAAACCCTACTCCGGACACTCCTCGCGCCACCCGCCCTAAACTATCTAGTGTTGTTACCTTTGACACCATATTCACGCCGTCTGTCTATCTCTGCGTAGGAGATCGCCCCAGCCGTCCCCACCCTTGCCCGCCTGCTGTATGGCGACGATGAGGAAGTGCTTGGTGATGCCACTTGGGCCCTGAGTTACATCTGTGATGGTGGCGACGACAAGATCAGCGCCGTCATCGACTCGGGTGCCGTGAGGCGTTTGGTGGAGCTTCTGATGCACACCAAGGTCAGCGTCAAGACGCCTGCCCTGAGGTGTATTGGTAATATCGTGACCGGTGCTGAGAATCCCACGCAGGTCAGTTGGTTGTTGGTTGTTGGTTCACGTCTATACCCCGTTTGCAATCTTAGCCCACTAACACTAGAAGGTCAGTTGGCAATCTGTGTGTCTGGCATTGGGTCGTTTACGCGTTGATACCGTGTTATGTCGTCAATCAACCTTTTTCGAGCTGCAGAATGTTCCGCTGCGATCCCAGTGACAAAGTTTCTGGTACTTGTTGGATAGTTCTAACGGCTTACTTCGCTGTAACCCAACTGCACGATCTCGATCGCTCGTCTGGAGAAGGCTTATGCTAATCCGTTGATCCCTAACTCTTCCAGGTGGTCATCAATTGCGGGGCACTCCCTATGCTGTTGGCGCTGTTAGATTACAACAAAGAGACTATCAAGAAGGAGGCGTGCTGGACCATCTCTAACATCACGGCGGGCACACAGGCGCAGATACAGGCCGTTATCGATGGCAATGTTATCCCACCCCTGCTAAGGACTCTCACCAATTCTTCGGAACAGCGGGTGTGTTGGTGTGTGTCTGCGCATGTGCAGTAATGTGCGGTTCAGTATACATGCCCTGGGCTTGTGTCGCAAACAGGCTATGTTTTGTGTGTGTATTGAAACAGTTGCATGTGTGGCCGTACGTACATCAATGGCACATGATGTACGCGTATATGAGCGTTGTCTCCTTTAGTTCTAGATATTTAGTCATCCTGAGTGCGCACCTATTTACACAAAGCGTGCTCAGCATTGTGTGTTTTCTGGGTTAGATGCACATTTTATTAATTTTTTTTTCTTATCCGTGGAGATTGCGTACAAGTGGCGCCGATTCTTGCACGTGCCCTATGATTTTGGCGCGTGTACAAGTTACCTTGATCAGCCTTACTGCCAGATTAGCATCTGTGTCAGGTGGCTCCCGTGTCCGTTGTTGAGAGTCTGTGTCACCACGTGTGAACTAACCTGCACAGATGGACATTGCACGCGGGTTTCTTCTCATTCCGAGCCTGTGCAGCGCTAGTTTCGGCCACACTTAAAACTCTTTGTGTGGAATTATTGCCAACTTTCGACCACACGTGGTGGGTAATTCACCACATTATTTCTCTCACATTTACAGACTCGCGACGAAGCTTGCTGGGCACTCGCTAATTTGTGTATGGGAGGATCGGATAGTCAACGCAAGTATGTATCTATGTGAACTGGCCGTAGCTACGTGCATAAACAGAGTATTATGTATATCGGTATAGCCCTACTGAATACATAAGAGTGGACCATTCATCACAACAGTCATGCTTTAGCTTGGCACTCACGGTATCATATTAGCCCGAGATCTTATAGTTTAACTTGGTGCGTTACCCATATTTGTTACATCTATTTCAGCCCCTGTGGCGCTGTCTGACTTGTTTTGTCTCCTTTTACTGCACTTTGCACCTCGCATACAGCACTACTGTCACGCACTAAATCCCCATTCCCGTCCCCACTCACGTGTGTATTACAGATACCTTGTTGAGCAAGGATTCCTAAAGCCCTTCTGCGAAAACCTCAACACGTCCGCACAGCTTTGTAGGGTTATGCTGGAATCATTAAAGATGGTTTGTGAGGTATGCGGTTTGCATGTTCAATTAAACTAGGGAGTCAGATATGTGACAGCGTTTCCACTTTTTGTAGAATTTGTTCTTTGGGTTTACGCATGTGTTTACGAAATGATGCGAACAACTGGTGTGTATACTTTTTTCGTGTCTTGTTGTATTGTGGCCATCCAGAAAGGTCGAGTCAGTTTGATTGTGATTGTTTTCTATTTATTTCATTCTATTTCCGTCGAGCCATTTACAATTAGGTCGTGTACCTCGTATGTTTACCAAACATCTGACACTCGTGCACGACTCAAGTATCTTTGTCTGGCAAAGCTTTGTAACGCTTATGTTGTTCATCTATCCAGTTGATTCCATTGGCGCCAGTGCTATGGTCACTTTCATTGCGTGCTTACGCCAATTTTCTCCAGGCCCCTCGTGTTCTTCGCGTGTTGGTCATCTTTTAGTCATGTCAGTATCGAACAGTTGTCTTAGTTGTCTGTTGGTGTTATGCTTCTGTGGATTCAAGACGGTCGCGATCCGGTATCAGACATTTCTCTATATATTTGTACTAATCAAAAGACCATATTGCTCATTCTTCACTTCCATTGATAATCGCGTTTTGATTGGATTTGCTATGCATGGTGTATCGGCTAGGTTACTATCTTTAGTCGGAATAAAACATTTTTATGTTAAGTGAGATGCTAAATTATTACATTCACGTTCACAGACTGGTCAGACAGAGGCCTTAATTTCTGGACAAAAGAATTTATATGCGCTCTACGTCGAAGAGGTGGGCGGAGTTGACATCCTGGAGAGACTACAGGTGGGTGCCCATCATATAATTCTGTCTGCTTCATATTTTACGAATCTTCAAGTTTCATGTAATACAAGAGCATTTGAAATATACCCGTTTTTTTGTTTTGTTTTTTTGAGAAGCCGTGTGTTGTCCCACGTCCGCACATGTGGATATCGTATTGACTGTATCCACACTGTGTGGTGTGCTCTACACATACACTTCTTAATTACTCAAAACTTATTCTTTGGAGGTAAGTTGCGTTGTGCGCTTTTCTATACCTTGTTGTTATGCTACATAAATACGCACTTGTCGTATTCTATTTAACTTATGCAGCATCTTGTCAATTATTCTGACGATTTTAACCCCGTTGGTGTAAAAATTACAGGAACACGAGAATTTAGAAATCTACAACCTCGCGCACAATCTGATAATGGACTATTTCGCCGAGGAAGACGACATAGATGAGAACGTCGCGCCGCTGGCCGGAGATGATAGTTATCAATTTGGACAGGATACCTCGCAACAAGGAAGCTTTAACTTTTAGTTGAGATATAATATTAAAATACATGTGGTGATGATATTTGTTTTGGCTGCCCTTTCTATTCTGCTATACAAATGTACATGTGTATTTATGTACGTATATATATATATATTAATATACTAGTATATATATATTTGTGTATATATATTATTATATATACATTTTATTATATACATGTGTGTGTGTGTGTGCATGTGTTGTGTGTTGTGTGTATATATACATATATAGGCCCTATCTTCTGTTTGATGTGAAGTATGAATACTGGAAATGCCCTACCAGATAAATTGAGCCTAGATCACTCATTTAGTATATAACCTATGCAAATTCTCCGGCTGAATACCTCGAATTTCCTGAAGAAGTGGATAATAGCTGATAGTCTTGGAAGAAATATATAGGTCATAAAAGTAGAGGGGTAAGGCACGGTTGGTCCTGAATAAATAGATTTTAGTAGCCGGCATGAGACTGATAGTCCGGAAGAAGAAAATAGATATTGAGTCTGGGCTGCTGTCTTTTGACTAAACGACCTTGGAGACTGTCTCCACGACATTTCATCAGTGTACATGTCCGACGGGTGTCATTTTGTCTCCAAACATACAGACCATTGGTTTACGGGGAAAACTCCTACAACTGTTCAGCTCTGTTAGTTGTTGTGAACAATGGCAGTATGTACCGTGTTCTCGAAATTCAGAACATGAATATACTTCATGGTTTATTTACACTTAAACCAATGGTCCTATTGACCTGCCCTATTCCATCTACAACTGATTCTAAATGGACCGGACGACGACGTCCTACACCATGACATCAAAAGACATCAAAGACAAACAGAAGACATTGGAAACACGACAAAGACACAAGTTTTCAGGCGGCCTGTCTATTTCTTTTACCAACCCAGGATAAAGGGTAGAGGACTGATGCTTTCAAAGGAATAGATCATAATAACTGGCAGAGGACTAATAACTTGAAGGAATGATCAATTGTAGAGGGCAGGGGTCTGATAATTCGGAAGAAATAACAAATCGTAGTGGGTAAGAATGCAGTTTTGGGGGTGAAATAAATACTAATAAAAGGGCAGGGGACATAGTACAGAAGAAAAGAGATGTATAAAGGTTGCAGAGGGCAAGTGGATACCTTCCCATTTCTCGCATGGCAAGTTGGGATAGGCTGAAACATGGTATGCACCTGCACAAATTGGACATCTAGCGGGCATCAGACACCCCTGACAACGACATTTATCGAAGAGAACGGTCTGCATCACCTAAGGACAGGTAATGCAACGTGGGGGGACCGTTTTACCCCCATGGTAGAAACCCAAATAAGACATAGATATACTTTTCTAACATAGATATACTTTTCATAGAAACTCCCAATATATGTACCGAGATACATTAATAAGACAGTCACAAAACTTAATCAACGACTGACTGGTACGACATGCATTCGACTGAAGAAAAGGGACGTGTGAGACTTTTAAACTACAAGTGTGCATATCTACCGTAAACCACGCCACCACCTACCTCACGCAACATGGGACTTCTAGCTAGAAAGCCAAATTGCGCTTTTATGCGGTCAACTACTTGAATTTATTCGATAGCTGAGCCATTGCTTAGGGAAGTGGGTATACGAGTATCAAGTGTTCTGTATTGCCATTTAACTGCACGATATGCAGCAACTCGCAATACTTACTTCGCCAGGAAAATAGGAACAAAGATGATATCCAATTGATACTTGTACGGTTATGCTACTTTGAGGATGATTCTCGTTGCCATCGCTCCATATGAATAGATGATCGTATAGTGCAACTTCTTCCAAATCGGCATAGTGGATAGCGTCCCTATACAAGTGTGACCAATATTGACGTAAAGAATTTTCTAACAGATACCGCTTCGCCCGTCGATAGGTTATGATAGTCTATTATAGTGAATATTTCAAATACAAGCTCACTCTTATCCACTTTTGGCTAGTATATCACTTTGCGCAATAAGATGTAATGCTTAACGATGCTAATGAAACATATGGGTGGTAGCAATGTGGTTTTCACTAAAAGCTGCAGCGTCGTTCGTGATTACAAAGTTAAAATGCGTCAAACTGACAGCCACTTGTTGGTAGCGGCAGACTGTTGGTAGCGGCAGACACCTCAAGTTGCACACTGCACAGCACTGAGTCAAATAAGTAATCAGATGCATTGTGGTAATGAGCCCTCGGTACACCTGATAGATTACGCCTGTCAGTGTCAGGAAGGTTATATGTGATGCGCCCATACATAATATATAAATCAGGGGCTGACAGGGGAGCACACATATAGTTTTTGTGATTTTAGAGCGATATCATCACCATTGACATTGATGCTCCTTTTTTCCACTTGGGCGCGCCTCTTATATTTTGACTTTCTTGTGTTAAATGAACTGTAATGCTTAGTTTCATGCTTTCAATGACCTCCACCATATTGTGAACATTTGTTGTAGTTTTTGAGTTGGTTCTGCTTTTCATTTGATAACTATACCACCTTTGATTCGCCACTATCATTGCATCCTTGGCGGATATATTTCTCGCTTGTACTCTATTTCGGTCATGTAGTGATACTAACGAAGCGCGGAGTATTGAGTACATAAAGATCAATTTGAAGCAAGTGAAAGGATTGTTGACTATAGATCAGGCACCATATATTTTTTATTGTGATTTACATGGCAAAGACAATCCCGACAGAAGAAGGAAGTACAATGGCAAACATATTTTAAATATATGCCGAACGCACCTAGATGCAGGATATGTATGTCTTGGTATGTATCTCAATTATATTGCTCGGCCGTGTGTAGCACCTATGAAAACAATTCGTAGCGAGTGGAAACGTCATCGACCATCATTGGTGTGTCTGTACCTCGTGGTTAGCTGTTAAGGATTAATAGTATCGCTTTTTATTGCGTACTTTCGTACTTTAGCCTATTCTTTTGTCGATTTAGTATGCACCTTAAATCACGACAATGTGTATCACATATATAGCTAGAAGTTTATCATACCGTTCAATATGTAGTTGATTTGATATATTTCCACCTGTGATCCCTCCACTATCCTTTCAATAAATGGAAAATTTTATTCGAGGGCTTTTTTTCTCGATCTCCAACGGCTTTTACTACCGTTTATAAGCTGTTAGGGCTTTGCAGTCGACATTTGCACCTATAACATATTTAGCAATAGTACCTTGGGCGGCTTGTCATGAGACATTTGGCGTGTGTGTTTGCTTGGGACGTGGTGCGGTGAAAATAAAGTAAATTGTAACACTGCCTAGCGAATCTGAGCTATTATAGGTCACATGGCCACTTGGGTCTGAATAACTATTACTGGTATGTGAAAAGGTTTGAACTACGCACTTGCATCGTTACTGTTCCATTCTGATTAACATAAAAGGGGGTTTAAACAGGTGGTTGCATGCTATAAGTATGATATTGAATGAGTATGTTATACGTATTTGATGTTTTGTTCTCAGTTTTGAATAAAATGCATGTACTTAATCATGTGAATTTGTATTTTCAAATTTGTCAATCAATGGTCTCACAGCTTCATGTGCTGCAAGTCAATGCTGTTCTTTTACAGATCCGCCGATGTAGCATGTTCTATCAGCTCCTTCTTTTAAGGTATACAGAGTGTATATTAATTACGCAAAACTTGCATTTGGAACTTCAAAGGAATCGGTAGCACAATCAGGGTCCTGGAAAGAACCAATAATATTATACTAACATTTAGACTCGGTGATTTTTTACAGAATCCCACGATCCGATTCCCTGTTACTTACTTATTAGAAGATGGCTTTGTAAACCTCCCAATGGGTTTGTAGGCAACCCCCACTTCATTCTTCGCTGCGTCTTTCTCTGTAGCCGCAATACATGTCGGTGTATATAACATCAAACTCACTATGTATAGTGCATCATGTTTGTTTTCAACCTTTACAGTGGGCTCCATATTGTCGATTTACAATACAATGTGGCTCACTTAGATTGCTCATCCGTGTATGGTATCTATAAAGATACGAAAACAACGTTGGTATTGGCGTGTCTGTAATCTCGTGGTAAACTGCTAATAATTTATTGTATCGCTCTTCAGCGCATACTTTCGCACTTAGTCTATTCTTTGGCACTTTATAGTGGTAAAGGGAGCCTTTAGATAGTTAAACCGGAAGAGATGTTGCAGCAGAATAATTTGAGGCCAAATCCGGCCGGGAAGATACCGCACCGCAGCACTGAATACTCGAGGATAAAAAAGCCGTTGAGAAATGAGAAGTTATTAGTGATTAGTAGGATGTTTAGAGACTACCGATTCTGGTAAAATATGTAGCATCAGGCAAGTGCTACGATGTAAAACATACAATATTCAATAATATATAACAGTATAAAATTGCAGAGCGATTTTATCGAAGGTAAAAAGCAGATATTGCCAAAGGCCAATAAGCGCTAATTAGTAATTAGACTCTCAAGAGCAAAAGAGCATATATATAGGAGACGCCAGGCGACGAGAGATGTGAAGCATATATATATATATATATATACATATGCAAGCACGCAGAGAGGCTAAGTACACAACATTAACTTATTGCCTTATACGCATTAACATTTTACAGCAATTTACAGCAAGAGGGCTGCAGCAGAATCCGAAGAAGAGACCTTTTTATCAAGTGAAGGAGAACAATCACAGCACGCGCAGCTAAGTGTAGGGCTTTGCAACTGGAAGAAAACATCACCCAGTTAGGTGTAGCCTTATCAAGGCAATAAGAAAGAGTTTCAACTCGAACCGGCAGCTAGGGTGGAAGAATCTGAAAGGGAGCAGGCCATCAAAGAAGCGAAGAGCGCTGATAACCATGCACTACAAGACAGCAAGATCAAGATGATGGAGATGCAAATCATGAATTTATCAAACGGAGCAGGGAACAAGGAACGTACGTAGTTGGAAGCCGAAGCAACACTGCGAGCACTAATGACAGATTTCCCAGAATCACTCATGGAGAAATTTCGTGAAGGTGAGTCAGTAAAACTATCAGAAGTGAAG